GCAGAATACTTGAGAGATGTTCCAGGAGCCCTTAGAAAAGAGAAGTTATATGCAAAATGGAGTAAATACGCATTCTGTCTCGAATAGATTACTTTTTTAGGTCATATGGTTTGCAAGGACGAAGTATCCGTAGATCCAGAAAATATTGAGCTTATTATGGGATTGGAACGTCCTATCACTGTGAAAGGTGTCAGTAAATTTTTGGGTATGTTGGGTACTACCGTCGATTCGTGAAGGAATTTTTTAATATTGCAACCCCCTTTACCCGACTTGCTAAGAAAGAATCTAAGTTTGAATGGAATATGTACTGTGAGAATAATTTTAAAGAACTTAAAAATTGATGGGTGACCGCTCCAGTATTAGCCCTACCAAGTAGATCAGGAGGTTATGCAGTATACACTGACGTATCAGGTCAGGGTTTAGGATGCATCTTAATGCAATATCATAGAGTCATCACAGATGGGTCAAGATAATTGAAGAATCATTAGCGAAATTACCTAACTCATGACTTGAAATTAGCTGTAATTGTATATGCTCTTAAGATCTAACGTCATTATCTGTATGAAGAGACGTTTGAGGTTTATACCAACCACAAGAGTCTAAATATTTCTTTATGCATAGAAAATTGAACATGCACCAACATTGATGGATGAATCTTCTTAACGACTATGATTGCAAGATATCCTACCATCTAGGAAAATGAAATGTGGTAGTTGATGCATTGACTCGCAAGACTTCCAGTATGATAATAAAACTAATAGCTTATGAATGGAGAACTCTATAAACATTATAAGAGTTATAGTTGGGCATTCAGAAACAGGAAATATATACAGCCAACTTGAAAATCGAGACAGTATTGATTCAAAAAGTTAAATATGCTCAAGAAGCTGACTCTACTACAAGGACCTTGAGGAAAGAAACAGAACAAGGTCTAAGACCTGGCTTTAGAGTTCATGACAATGGGTTGCTTCGATTCAGAGGAAGACTGTGCATTCTTAATGACCCGAACTTGAAGAGACTCATACTAGAGGAAACATATAACTCTAGATTTACCATACACCCAGGCATCACCAAGATGTGTCAAAACTTACAACCTCAATATTGGTGGAATAAAGAAAGACATCTTTAAATTTGTTAATAAATGTCTCACCTGTCAAAAGATCAAGACTGAACATCAAAAGTCAGAGGGATTACTCTGACCTCTACCAATTCCAAAAAAGAAGTGGAAACATATCACTATGAACTTTGTTATGGGTTTGCTTAGGACCAAGTTGAACCATTATGTTATATGGGTAGATAGATTAATGAAGTCAACCCATTTTTTGCTAATAAAAGCTACAGACCCTTTAGAAAAACTTGTTAGGTTATATATTAAAGAAGTGATTAGACTTCATGACATCCGGTGTTAATAGTTTCATATCGTGATACTTGTTTCACCTCTAGATTTTAAACGAGTCTTCAGCAAGCTCTAAGCACTTCATTATCTTTCAATACGACATTTCACCCACAAATAGATGACCAAACAGAGAGAACCATTCAGACATTAGAAGATATGGCTAAGGCTTGTATACTAGAGATGGGAGGAAATTAGGATGACTATCTACCACTAATTGAATTTGCCTATAATAACAGTTATTAATCCAATATTGGTGCAGCTCCGTATGAAGCATTGTATAACAGATCTTGTAGATCTCCTATATGTTGGGAAGAGATTGGATACAGAAAATTAATTGGATCTGAATTAGTCGAAGAAACTATTTCAAAGATTGTTCTAATTAAGAAAAATCTTCAAATAGCCCAAAATAGACAAAAAAGTTACACAAACAACCGTATAAGAGGCTTAGAATTTGAGACAGGGGACCATGTATTCTTAAAAGTGTCACCAATGAAAGGGCATTATGAGATTTATGAAGAAAGGTAAATGAAGCCCTCGCTTCATTGGACCGTTTAAATATTGGAAAGAGTTAGAACTACTGCTTACCGACCGACATACATTGAAGTTTGCTAATATCCATGATGTGTTTATGTATCATACTACACAATATCACCCTCATCCATCTCATGTACTTCAGAATGAAGATATTCCTATCAAGAAAGACATGTCCTATCAAGAGGTACCCATAGATATATTGGATAGATAATAGCAAGTATTAAGGAAAAGATTATTTCGATGGTCAAAGTACTCTGACAACATCATTCACCAGCAAAAGCTACTTGGGAAATTGAGGACTCAATACGAACTCAATATCCTTGCTTTAAAGATGTATCAAATTTTGAGGAACAAATTTTTATAAGGAGAGAAGAATTGTAATATTCGGTCCCTAAAATAAAAGGGTGTAAATAAATTAATTAAATTAGGACTTAGCGTTTAAATGAAAGAAATTTTAATAGTTAGGGGGTTTTTAAAAATTTTAAGGAACTAAATGAAAAAATATGGGAGAAAGGGGGTCAAAAACATAATTAAATAATAATTGAAGGGGGCAAAAAAATCAATAAATGGACGGTCTTGATCACATCGTCTGAGAGATCCAACGGTTTGAAATATCATCTGACTAAATGACCCAGATTGAATCTTACAAGATAGGACAACTAGGGAAATGGGTATTTAAAGAAACAATTAGGGTTTCTCTTCCATTCAACCGATGAGATCTGAAAATGAGAGAGAAAGACAAATGGGTCGATCAAGTGAGAGAGGAGGCCGAGATTGAGTGAGGGTCGGGCTGAGAGAGAGAAAAGATAATCGCGAGAGCGATAGACAAGCAAGGAAACCTGAACGCAGAGATGGAAAGCTGAAGGGAAGGGAAGGAAATGGAATCATGGTCAGGAAGCACCGTGTTGCTGGCAAATTTTGAAGCCGTGTTGTACGCGATGTTGGTGTCCGAAACCTGTAAGTTTCATCCTTTCCATTTCTTTTCTAAGATTTATTTTTCCTATTTCACACTAACCAACATATAGGTGTGAAACCAAATCACCCAACCTTCATAGCAAGTGAGGAGTACTCTCAGGGAACCAAGGAGATTATCCTTCAGAAGTTAGGATCGCAGCTGGATGATGAGGTGCGGGCAAGGTGGGATTGGGGGGGTTAGTTTAGGGTTTTTACTTTTTTGGTATTTATCTTTTAATTTTAATATTCTTTTTTTTTTTCAACTGATCCTGAGCAGAATCGACTGGGACCAAAGTAGTTCATATCGAATGTTTTGATAGTCTAGCTAAGGACTGAGACCAGACCAAACGTGTGTTCGATCCAATATGGACTAAACTAAATGAACCAGTCCAGTCCTGATGAAAATTTGCACACCCGTATAATAACTGCTTATTTTTTAGATAACTTAAAATATTATATTATTTTATAAGTATATTGTTTTTAGCAATCCCGATTTTTTTTTTTTAATTTGAGAGTTAAAAACATACCTATAAAAAACTGTTCTAAAAAAATCATAGATTTTTTTTTTGCCTCGAACTGTTTTCAGAAAGTTTTGGGCTTGGCCATTGGCGTTAACTTTTGGTCTGGTTTGGACCACCAAGTAAATTAACATCCTTAAAGTACTAATTAAATATAATAAACTTGCAAGAAATTCAATTTCACCCAAAATATAAAATGGAAAATGACACTAATCTTATATACGAATGTCCATCTAGAGTATCAAAACCTTCAGCAATTTATTTTAAGTTTTAAAGGGTAAATTATGGTTGTGGAAGATGAGGTCTCCCCAGTTATCAATATAATCATGTTCTTCATTTTTTATTTGATAGGTAAAAATTAATCATAATTTATATATTTTATTTATAATTAAATTATTTTTTATATATTTTTGTTTATATCTCTATCATACTTATATTGCATGTCTATTCCTATTTTTAAGAATTAAAATTTTAAGCAAACAGGATTTTCAAATATAAGTCAATAATTTCCTTTTTTTGAAAAAAAAAAAAAAAAGAAATGACGATATATATGTTTGTGTTGGCGCCAATTATATATATATATATATATATATGACTTTTTTTCTATACATATTTTATATATAAACTAAAAGTGTGACAGAAAACTTCTATATATTTTCTTGGGGGGGCACATGCATATATAGGACGTCTACTTTCAAGGTATGGCATCAAAAATATACAGAAGACATCCAGGTCGAGACAACGAGAAAGGCAACAAATCTTTTTTTACCTTGTAGTTATCAGTAAATTATTTTATCTAATTATAATTAAAAATATATATTAACATTATATTAATTATATTAATATCAATTTATGAGTATAGATGAATTATATATTACATAAAGTCTTTTGCTTAGAGATCTAAACCCCGTGTATTAATGTATTCACACATAAGTTTTGAGACGGCAGATCCATCATATGCTAGCTGGGAGACGGCAGAACCATGAAAAATATACATGTATATTTCATATTTAAATTTACATTATATAAGTATAAGTATGTGTGTTTCATATTTTTTTTCATTTTAATTTTGTGAGATATATATATATAAGAGAAAAGAGCCCCCTGAAAACGAAAGAAGGAAATGGATGGTACATTTTCATCATTGGATAAGATTTATTAACAACAAATAGACCTACGCCAGTAGAATTAGTAATGTATTAAAAAAAAAAAAAAAAAAAATTAGTACAAAAGCCCATAGACAAACTTCTTGAAAGAAAATCAAGAAGATTTCGTGAGATTCTACTTGACAACCAGTCCGATTAACTATTGTTGAGTTTTCACTTTTATTACATTGTTGAATTGTTTCAAGAAATAATAATAGAAATTTTTATTAAATAAATATAGGATAAAACTTTCTTGACCAATAATGTATGTCTATACATATATGTGCACGCGCCATTCACATACAATGCGTGTGTGTGTATATATATATATATATATATATATATATATCATGTATATATGCACCAGTTCTCGTGAAAATGGAAATATGAGAAGAAAAAAAGCGTAATACCTCAATACAAGCATACACTAATACAGAGACAGCTAGTCTCAAAACACAGTAAATGTACAAGAGATGGCGATAATCCCAAATTTAGACGTTCTCGAGACACTTAAGTCTCGGATCTGCCATGCATGCCGGTTATTCACAGAGTCATATATAAACAACTCGAAACAAAAACATGCATGCATATATGGATACATGGTAACACACATACGTATACGTATCTATATGATCCGCCATGATCATCAGTTAATTAGATGCTGGGTAAAGATGTGGCGGCAACCGCGGCTCCGCCCGTGCAACCAACGGCTTCGCCAAAAACAGGTCATTTTCCGCCTCGCTAAGATCGACACAACTCTGTTTTCCCGGCAAACTCCATGAAAATCCTTGAAGAAGCCTAGCTAGAAGCATGGTGGTCATGCAAGTCCCAAGCGACGCCGCAATGCAGCCGCGCCTTCCAGTGCTGAATGATATGAATCGGAGATCGTGCTCCGTTAGCGCCACGTCATAACATTCGTTCAGGTGGCGCTCGGGCCTGAACTCGTGCGGGTCTTGCCAGACTTTAGGGTTCCGACCGAGTCCAATGCGGCTGAGCAGCACGTGGCTACCTTTCGGGATGAAGTAGCCGGCGACGGTGGTATCGCTTAGGGCAACGTGAGGGACGTTGAACGGTGCAACTGGGTGAAGCCGGAAACCTTCTCTAATGCATGATTTAATGTAGTTGAGACGTGGGATGTCTGATTCTTGAGCCAGTCTTTCCCTACCAACTTCTCTGTCAAGTTCTTCCATGGCTTTTTGAAGAATATTAGGGCGATTTATCAGTTCAGCCATTATCCATTCTACCACGTTTGATGGATTATCTACTGCTGCCATCATGATTTCCTGCAATGAATATATCCCCCTTGGTTAAGCCTATATGATGAGACATATACATATTCATACGTAAGAAATGAAGGGTTGCAGAAAAGTTAAAAAAATCAACTTACCCTAGATTGTGCTTTAATCTCTTCTGGTGTTAAGAGTGGCTCACCGTTTGAATCCTTCAATGTGATAAGAACATCAAGAAAGTCTTGAATCTCCTTCTTGCCACAGTTTGGGTCATTAGGGTTCCGCCATCGTTGGATCCTTTCTTTAATAATAGGGTCGTGGTACTTCTCAATGACGCTGTTAGCTTCTTTTACAATCTTCTCATGGCCATCAAGGTCAAGCCCGATCAACCCAGGAAAATAATCAGAGATACAGTAGGCGTAAAGGAAGCCAAGCGCAGTGAAAAGAGCTTCAACGTGGTCTATCTCATGGACGCTTGGACCTGCATCGGCCATTGGCTCGCGGAAGTATCTTTTGTCGAACATGAGCCGCCTGATCACATTCCCAGAGTAATACCTAGTTGCGATTCTCAAGTCCACGTTCTTACTGTTCTTGTACTGGTTGTAGATGTAGGTGACGAGATTGTCAGCCTCCTCGGCTCTTTTATCGTGGAGCCACTTGTGCCTTGCCGGACAAATTATCTCCGACGTCAAGACCCGTCTCATTTTCTTCCACTGATCGCCGAACGGCGATATGACTGCCGTCACATAACCGCCGCTATAAGTGTGCGCAGCGAAGGAAAGTGGTCTCGACGCGAAAATTGAGTCCTGGTTTTTCAAGATTTCTCGGGCAATCTTGGGACAGGAAACTGGGATTACATGGGTATTTCCTAGACGGATACAAGCAATGTTGGTCTCAAGTTCGTCCATTATCCGGTGAATCCACCGGAATACCGGCTTGTTCAGGAGCATTTCCGGGACAGAACCGATAACCGGCCATGGAAGAGGGCCAGGAGGAAGTGGAGTTTTCTTAGAAGGTAGCTTTTGCTGGCTGGATTTACGCGAAAGAGATCTTAATTTTTTGATTATAAGAATCAAAGCCATGAAAACCAGAGCTTGGATAGTTGTAAATAAAGCACGCAAGATGGGCGTTGTGGAAGAAGAAGAAGAAGAAGTAATCAGCCAATTTTTAGTTAAGCCTATAAGGTTTAGGGTTACAGTCATGGTTGGAGAGGAAGAAGAAGAAGAAGAAGGAGCGAGAGTATAGTTCCCCAACATGTATTTTTAGTGGCTAAGCTGGTTCTACCTCTTCATGAAAATCCTTAACGAAAGCTTTGTATTTATAGAGACAAGGGCACACGTAAAGTGTGAAAAACGAGGGAAGGAGAAAACAAAAAATTTAGAAGGGCGATTATGGTAAATTCGAGTGGGTCTTGATGCTCCTTCGACGAGCACCATGCTCCACTAGGTGAGTTGTGTCAGTATCATGTTATTCTGTTTTTCATAAATTTTTTTTTATAGTGTTATTTTCAGCCACTATTTTTGTTCTCAAATTTCTTTTTTTTTTTTTTTTAAGATGAAAAATTAATGGGAACATGATTTGTACACCTACATGCCACCTGCCATGGTAGTGAGAAAAATGTGGCCAACGGTTACATATTTTAAATTAATTAAGCCAAGGACAGTCTCATGAACCCACAAATAATTTATTGTTAAATCATTTACTCACTATTAACTTTTTAATCTCACTTAATTTTAATTAAACTTATTTTATTTTTATTTTGGCTCCGTTATTTATTTATTGTATAAAAATTAATTATAATATTGTAGTTTTAAATAGATGCTTAAAATATTTGTAAAAGCAAATATTCATTAAATTTACTAAGTACATCAAGCTATTTGTGCTCCCATAAATTTAATTAACTATTGCTCAGGAAAACAAAACAACCGACCACGTACAATCATATAAATGATTTAATTGATGAAACATATCTTTTTGGAATATGGTCTGAAACTTAAATAATTCATCCCAAAATGTTAAGTTTTTTAATGTGTTATATGCATATATATAGTTTGGTGTTATATGAAAGCCACATTATCAATTTTAATTAACATATCTCTATTTAATTATGTATTTATATATTTCAATAAATATAAAAATTTTTCATAGCATATAACCAAAGTAATTATTTATGTTTATATACTAATTCAATTAATATTTACATTGTATATTACAAATTTTATTAATACATAACTAATTTATACATTGCGTATTATTAATTATCACATATTTTAGTCATTATTAAAATAAGTTATTTTTAATTAAAAAAAATACGTATTTTAATTTAGGATTAAATATATTTTTAGTCCATGTATTTCTTTTTTCTTTTTGATTTGTTCTCTACATTAACTTTGTCTTAAATTAATTTTTATATTTAAAAAGAATATTCAAATTAATCCCTTTCTATAAATGCCCACTAACGATACTAGTCTCGATACCTGATATAGTTTTATATATATATATATATATTTTTTTTCACATTACATGTTAAGTGATATTGGTGAGTGAAAAGATGAATTAATTATAGACCCGTCTGATTTTTCTAAAATTGAAAGAAAAAAAAAATTCTGCAAATATCTGTTATTTCGTTTCTGTCTCTCTCTACACTCCTTTGTTCTCAGTCTGCTTCTCTCTCTTCACTGCATCAACAGCCAAACCTTCAAACCTCCTCACAATCTCAGACCAATCTTCGCCAGCAGCCACTTTGCTTTTAGCAACAAACTTAAGCCTCTTGAGTGGACAAGCCCACCGGACTTAGACCTGTCGTCCTTGCCAAACGTTGGGATGCCGCCAGCGGTGTTGCCGGAAGTGTTCCGCCGCAGTTCCTGTGACACTTGCTTAGGTAGAAACGAGAGTTGGGAACCGAGCGACACGTGCTGGTGCTGCTCGAGTCCGCTCGCCAGCAGAGCCGTCTCCTGCTCCCCAGCGGCTCTTATGTTCTGCACGAAAACGGGATTACAGAGAGAGAGAGAGAGAGAGAGAGAGGAGAGAGAGAGGTGGAAAGAAGATAAGGAAAAGAGAGAAAAGCGTGAGAGGGGAGTTATCTGTAAATTAAATTACAAATAAGATTGTCAGATAACATCTGACGGTCAAAAATAATTAATTAAATTATTTTAGGTTGTCAAGCACAATAACATGTGGCAGATGTTAACAGCATTTTCCAATATTTTTCAAAAATTAAAAAATAATAATAATTTAGCATAAAATTGAGGCAGAAACTAAATAGAGAAAAAAAGTATAAAATTTAAAAATATATTTGAACTTTTAAATTTATGATTACAAATATATACATATACATATATATATATATATATAAATAAATATTTTCGTTGAGAAAATAGTATATCCACAAACACCAAACCACACGGAGGAAGTTGATAACCCAGTAAGCGTATAAACCAGAGAAAAGACACGAAGCAACAGCTTCAAGTTAAAAAATCTGTTCAAATGCAAGTTTGATTGGCTAGTGAGAATCTTTTGTAGTTGCAGAAATTCATACTCATTCAGAGTGTTTAAATTGATTTATTTTATTTTATTTTACTTTAAGCATATTTCACAAGATTCTGTTACAAATATATCCTTTTACGAAGTAAGTATATATATATATATATGTGTGTGTGTGTGTGTATATAGTGGTAATAAGGTAAAATGAACAGGACAGGGAATTTATTGGGTCATGCAAATCGGGTTAATTAATCTGTAATTAGCGAGATACCTCAAGTAATGTTAAATAAATGGTCAGTTAGTTAATCCAAACGGTCCTCCATCCAAGGTGCATGCTCCTTGGTCTTATTCACAAGCAATTTCAGTTGCAGCCGTATAAGAACATTAATCCTTCTGAAACCAAAAAATCTATCTCCATTTTTCTTAATTAAGATTTTATCAACTTGGTACTAATTATATTTATTTATTTATCTCTATATTTTTAAATATAAACAGAAACACACACACACACACACACATATATATATAAAGAGAGAGAGAGAGAATGCGATGCATGCAATTTGGATCAAACATAATTTCATGGATAAGAGGCCAAAATAAAAGTTTTGGAAATTTTGTTTGCGGACTAAAATACCTTAAGAAAATTATATCAATGTGTAATAAATTAGACCGCTTCAAAAGTATATAATAAATTGCATATCATTTTTTTTATAAGTGAAAATGGAAAAATAATATTTATATTTCAATCCTAGTAAATCACACTGAGCCCTACCCAACCATCATGTCTCGTATATGTATCAAAATTTATTTTTAGTATCCCATTCGGTAGTTTTTTTCCAAGTAAGGAGAGACCTACACTCATTTATGTTTGTCAAGGAGATAAATTGAGATGGAATCTATAGTTCATGGTAACCATGCCATAGGCTATACAACTTTCTAATTAGATCATATAGCTCCGACCACCAACTTCTATAATACCACTCATTGCAGTTCTATCATATTCCCTAAACAACTACCTTAAACCATACACAACAACTGACATCTTTACAATTTAAACATTTTATCAGCCATTATTTGGACTGATGAAATCTAAAATTGAAAAGGAAAAGTCCCAATTAAGGAAAAATTGAAAAAGAAAAAAGAAAAAGAAAAATATAAAAATAGAAAGAAAAAGAAAGAATTAAAGTTAAGAAATGATCATTTAAACAAACTGAGAATTTTGGAATGAGATGGTAGGAGTGAATAGAGTAAAGACCCTAAATACCTTCTCGTTTAGTCTGAATCGAGGAGGGGATTGCGTGTGTATGGTTGAAGTTCAGTGAGCATGATGAATCTTCACATAGATAGAGTCTGAAACCTAATCCAGATGTGGATAGGCATTCGTGAAAGTGTGGGCCACCTAGTAAATGTACCTGCTGCGACTATTATGTGATTTATGTATGTGTTATCCATGCGATGAGGGAATCCATTTCGCCTTTTTATATTTCGAGATTATGAACGATATTTGAGTACATCTATGATCTTTTGTGTGTGCGATTATGTTTCGAAATGACAATTGATATTTGAGTGCATTATAACTTCGAGAGTATGGAAAATATACATATGAGGTTTGAATATGATATTTGAGAGAATTCATCATATCGATCAGGAACATGTGAAATAGTGAAAATAAGAATATGAAATTGTACTGAAACATTTTTATTACTTTTGTTTCTTTTCGTGTATTTTGCATGAAATTTTATCTTGGGTGAGAGAACATGAATACTTATTGAGTTGGTGAAACTCATTAAATTTCACTTTGATATTTTTCAGATGAGAATGAAGGGCCAGCACCATTGTCAGACGAGTAGAACTTGTAAAAGGGTTCATATATTTATAGGAGAGCATAGACTCGAGCCAATAAGGATTCTTACATTTTTCGATTCGACTGTAGGTAAGGGATTGGGTTAGTCTCATTCAAAAGGCCCCATGTTTTTATGAAACTTTATTTTCCGTTAAAATGAATTATTTACAAACTTTGCAAACTATTTAAGTTTTCTAACGTGAGTTCTTCGAACTCATCATTTGTGTGTGTGTGCAATTATATATGATTGGAGACTTATATGATGTTGTGTATGACATATTTTTATTTATTCGTATTGTTATTTGTATATATATGTAGATTTTATGCATGCTAGTTATCGAGTTATAGGTGTGTGTGATACATATATATAGGTATAATTATAGGTTGTGTAACGTATGTATGAGTGAGTGAACAATTTGTACCTGTCTATTTATAGAACATACATATGCCTTGTGTGAATATACAAGTATATTTATGTTGTATGTGTTGCGTATACATATAGTTATTCAAGTTGATAATTGTGCATATAAAGTGTATATATTGTATTTATTATGTAGGCATGTTGATGTATAACCTATATGATATATAAGTAGGTGCATGCCTGAGTAGGTCATCTAGTGATGAACCTAATTAGTAAAAAAATAAAATAAGAATTTTTAAAAGACGAGAAAATTTGTTTAATTGGTATCACTGAAGGGTGTGTGTACCCTTTTGGCGTATGATTGTGTTGAACCATACCTTTGCATACCGGTTTAACCTTTCCTGATAAACCGATCTAAA